TTGATCGCGATTATTATGTAGGTCCACGCATACTATCTTTACATAGAGCGCTCCGAATTCGATAAGTCCTTTTTTATTTGATAGAATATAGCTTGAAATTGGTTTCACCAATAGCTGAAAAAACCTATAATCAGAGGTGTATGAAAGGGGGTGTGATTCATCGGATATATTGCCACATAACCCGTTCCCACGTAGTCTGATTAGGATAATTTTTCCTTTAGCAGATATAGTATAACTTTGAAGTCGCGTAAAATTTAAACAAAAAGATCTTACAGTAAGAAATGAAAATGGCTTAAAAAATTGATATTAACAAATTTCAAAAAAAAAAAAAAAAATATGATTTATTGTCTTGCGAAATGAGCGCCTTAATCGTTCTCAAAATCTACTGTCATGCACATACAATTCACCGGCAAATAGAACATACATATGTAGATCTAATAGAAATTTTGGAGTACTTCAAGTGTTCAAAAAGCAAAGCTAGATTTAATCTCTTCATACGTTCCAGTATAGTTATACTCTGTTTGGGCTCTGGTCTCCCATAAAACTACTCTATACGAATTTGTGCTCTCCCATCTAGACCCGTTTTTACCTCAAATGTGCCCTTCGGGTTGCTTCAAATAATATATTTGCTTTTATTTAATTAAGAGAAAATTAATAAGATAAATTCGCTTAAGCTTGAGAGTTTACTATTTGAGAATGAAAACAAATTTATAATTTTTTGCTTTTTAGTCTTTGACGGTTTCTTTCGTTTTTTTAAGTTTTTATTACACTGCATTAATTATTAGTTGGAACCGGCCTAATCGGTATACTATAAGTTATAGCCTCCTTACAACCGATCTATTCGAATATGAAGTTTTGGTAAAAATCCGTTAAAAAAGCATCTACGATGAATTATAATCGTATACATAAAAGCCAACATTCACACCGAAAATTATCTTTTACTTTGTGTTGTTTATTTAAAATGATAATTCTCAAATATTTATCTCAGACTCGTGAAAGGCGATCATAACTCTCTCTTATAGGAGTTAAAATGACTCCTTTGGAGGAAAACGCATAGTGTCATACGTCAAAAATTATGTGATTTCCACTAACTACTTCTAAATTATTATTCCAAATTAGCGTTCTTTTTTGGGCTAACCAATCAATGTACATAAATGTTCTTTAATTTTTTGGCTGAGGGTGTTATCAAAATTGTATATTTATAAAATCGGGTGTATTGGAGACCGTGCAGCACCTCGAAAATCGAAAAATAGTTTGCGTCAACGAGGATTTGAACCCGAGCCTTCCGAATGGCAGTATGCAATGCTAAACACTTGGCTACCGCGGTCGGGAATTTTGAATTGAACTGAAAGAATGCACAAAGGGTTATCACGATGCAATTTTTGGAATAAGCAAAAGTCGAAGACGAACCAAACCACTTCCAAGCAAAACAGTAGAGAAAAATTAACTTCAAAATGGTCGACTTTGCAAGTATAAGAAAGGGATACGAGTACCAACATAACGCAACAAAAAGTCCTCAAATTAAATATACGCAGCCCGCGTAAATTCCAAATTCGCGATACTTTTTGACATGCCCAGTGGATCTAAAACATCTCAAAATGGAGAAAGAAATTTACTTAAGCTCGTGATTATGGTTGTTAATGCCACCAGATGCCTATCAACAGCACCACAATAACCAACAATAATGCCACATATGTGTATATGTAAGAATAAGCAAACTGTATCCAGTAAATACATACTTGCACACTCGTATTTATCGGCCATGCAATCGCAAAACATCTGTCTGTACGTGTATGTCTATCATGATGTCTGTCTGTCCGTTTGCCCAGCTTGGGCTCGTAACTCTTGTTAACCGAAGACTTCATGTAGCTGCGAGTGGTTGCTTTTTAGTTTTTGTTTTCTTTTTTATGATGCAAGTTGATCGCGGCATGTTGCCACAAAACGAGTTTCGTGTTGCATAGCCATTGTCATTGTTACCTTGGCTTTTTTAATGATACTTGAAAGGTGGAGTTAACAGCATCGACCGCTGATTGGTCGATTCGATACTTGAAGCGTTCTTTTTATATGTTCTTTAATTTTTTCTTTTAATGCATTTCGTCGTGCGTTGTTGTAGCCTATTAAGGGCTTTTTAATGAAGTTAAGCGATGGCTGCCACGTTCGGGCATAAATTTTATTGCATGTCGTGTTCATGAAGTGGCTGTGGTGAAACGAATAGTGCGGAGGAGTTGCTTTGGTGGCGCGTCGCATTTTACTTATGCGTATTACGCATTTTATTTTATTATATAATTCCCATTTCATTAGATTTTTTATTGCTTAATTGACGTTAAATGAAATGCCTTTAATTAAATGTTTTCTACACAAATATGCACATAGGAATGTATGAAATGACGATTAATAGCCAAAGCGACCAAACACAAAGCGACTCAGCTAGCAACATTCATCTCGTGAGAGTGCCATGTACCTGAATGAAAAGTTATCACTGGCTGGCGTCACGGTTCGACCGTAGAAACCAGCGGTGATTGGATTTTTCCCATAAAAACCACTCAGCTGATTTCTCTCTATTGTACATGGTTGCTCAGAATATTTTTAAATAAACTTGAAATGAACTAAATAAATAATAATTATTTATTGCAACATTTGTTATTACATTTGTTTGTCATTTATATTTGAAAATATTATTATGAAATGAATTGCGAAAAATTCGAAAATTTTTTAAAAAGTATGCAAACACAGTGGCAATTTGTGACTACATATCTCTGGAAGGTTAAATGGATAATTGGACTATAACTGTGATGGGAAAGACTCCTGTCTAAAGTTTTGATGTTACGTAAAATCCCAACATTAAGTTTATATTAAATTTGTTATGGGATAGTATTTATCCCTACTAGTATTTATCCCTACTATCCCTTAACAAATTTAATATAAACTTAAAGTTGTGATTTTACGTAACATCAATTCTTTTATTCGTGAAGTTAAAATTACCCTCTCTATATTCTGAACGTTTGTATGTCTGTATATACATACGTACATGTATAAATATAATTGTCGTTTTATAAAGAATTTCCCGCCAACCTCCTTTGGTGCGCATATTGCTACTTATAAGAAATAGAGGAAACTAGAGGCAGAAATATACTCTTCTATAATTTTGGATGCCTGTGTGAGAACCCATGACCGTCCGCGGGCATTGTAATGTATATCTTATATGGCATCGATGAATTACTCTTCGAAGCGTTCAAAAGGTTACAATAGTTTTTCGCTTTGATAAAGTAAGAGTTAAACTTACTTACTTAGCTCCGACCAAATCGGAAAGATTTCCTTTACGCATTGCTTTTCTTAAATTTTAGAAAACACCAGGTCGGGAATTATGTACATTCAAACGATTGGAAAATGTCCTGCTCTGCTCGTGAGCCGCTGAACTTTATTCCAATAGTAATCAACTCTGGATTAATTTTACTTGACATTTTTTTTGTGTCCATATTTCGATTATTCGTTACCTGCGACATTAGTCATATTCAATCATGTGAAACTGATGATGGCAAATGGTGACATCGATATTCCATTTATTATTTTTCTTTATTTCAAATTTTACTGCATTTGCCTGCCGATGTGCGGTCGTCTTCAATAGAAACCAAACAATATTTAAACTGAAATTTCCCAATAACTGATATACTAGGGTACTGTTGCTTGTATATTTTCTTCTCTGTTAAGAAATTTTCGGCGTGAATCAGTGTTTGATTTCATCTATATTCATAGTCGATCTCTCCGAGGTATTCCTGACATGAAATAAAAACATCAACGAAATTGGAGAAGGCGCACAGCCTTAAGTGTTTTTAACGGTAATGTACTTACATTATTTATGAAGGTTAAAGTAAATCCTCATGCAAATGTAAGTACATAAAATACAGTTTCTGCTAGTTGTGTAACCAAATGTGGCGCATTTGCCCTATAAACACTAGCAATACTACGAAGAAGCACACACAAAACCCAACACTATCTGCCGAACGAAAGTGGGCAGTCCCAAGCGAGATACATATCAGCTGGAAGCAAACACTCACACACCAACTCTCTCAGCTCTCTTGCACACACTAGCTCACTGCAATAACGCTGCTCAAAAGCACATATCTAAACACGAAATCAGGCTAAATATGGCTAACGGGCGATAATCAGAATCGAAGAAAATAGTAAACTAAAAAACAGCTACGAACTAATAGCGAACCAACCGAAAGCGCTGAGTATGTACAAGTCGCGCGGCAACACCCACTTATTTACACAACTGTGCATACACACTCTTGACGTACCAAAGACTCCACTTACATGCGTGTGCGTGTGCTCAGTGAACACTTTCTTGTATTTTTAGTTTCAGGCAAAGTTTTTGTTTTTATTTTTATTTTAATGTGAGTGCAAGAACGAGTTTCACACCAATACCAAGGACAGCCGTGGCATAGCCCAACCAGAAGTGCTGTACAGACTTTATGCTCTTGGTGTACCGATCTGAGCTCTAATAAAAGCGAAGAAAAACGAAGTGAACGTTTCTCAATACTTTTTTGCTGCGAATATTCTTCGGTAACTAACAGCTACCGCTCTTTGTTGACGTTCGTGCTTTTCTTATTCTCTTTTTGCAGTCTCCATCTTGAATGGCAAAGTCTATAGCAACCACACAAACAACAAGTTTGGAGTATTGAAGTCCAAAGCTACTGGTTTGCCGGAATTGGACCGTTGGTGCCACATCTGCAGACTTCACCACTTTCCAGTTATTGTTATTGTTGGTATTTCTTTTCAAATTTCTACTCCATTATTTATGCGAGCATTCTTTGTGGTTGTATGTATATGTTGAGACATTTGTGCTTTTAAGCTCAACGATTATTTAGTACATTCATACTTACACGCACACACGATTTCCATGCTCTCTTCCTGCCTTTGTATCTGCAATTGAGTTATTGTGTGTTTACATGTGCGCGGCTATTGTTTTAGTTGTTTTACTCAAAAAGCAAACTACCAACTACTGTGGCCAACCAACAGCAACCAGCCAACCAGTGGCAGCAAAAACAGTTCGAGTTCGAGTTTGCCGATAACAGAATGTGGAGGAGCCGCGCGCTTGAGTAAATAAACAATTAGCCGACGCAAACTTGGAAAAAGTATTCACGGTGTATGTGTATGAAGTTGCATGTGTAACATGGTGAAAAATAATAAATATATTTGACCAGCGGTGTTTTGAACAGTGTATAATGCTTAAGGCCTTAAATGAATATTATTTGCCAATTTCTTCATTGATATAAAAAGAGTGTGCGGAAGGCATTAGTGATTTTAAAAATAAAAAAAAAATAAAATATTATAAGCTGGTGCTAAAATTATAAAGTAAATTCAAAATAATACCAGGAGCTACTATTATTCTTGTGTAAATACGTGTATGTACATCTGTACATAAATAAATGCTCTTGATTGCATTAAAAATTTATAAACGAATTATTAACGAATTTACCTTAACAACAAGTAACACTTTATTTATCAAAAGCCTCTTTTCGGTTTAGTTTCGGAACTTGACTTTGGCAAATTGTTTACACATTCAGCGAAACAGTATATAATATGCATATGCCATATAATTGGCTAATTGGCCTTCCGAATGGCAGTACGCAATGCTAACCACTCGGCTACCGCGGCCGCCGCTCGGCTATACAAAACATAAAACTGTATAAGATTAAAATAAAATATTGGAAAAAACTGATGAGCAAGTCCAATTTTTAACCGTACTAAAATTCTGTTGACGTGGGTATTTATGTTGTGACAACAAAAATAATTATATAGTTCCAATTAGATGTATTCATATGCATATATTTGTTTGTAGTTTTAAAATTAAGCGAAAAAGTTGGAAATACCACTGTTCTCGGGAGGATCTAACTAACCGTACCAACCGTACCAACCAACCTGCTTAATAATTTTCATTTTTTTACGACAAATACAGCATTATCCACCAACCGCGCCAACCACCCAGGGGCGCGTCTGAAAGATAAATCTTAATCCAATCAAAAACTAAATGCTGTCCTGAAAGCAAAATCGTTCGCGGTAGGTCGTGGTCAATTGCCTGGATAGATGTTCTTTTGAAAACTCTACCGAAAATTTCTGACTGCGTTGGTATGATTTATAAGGTGTTTGAACAAAAAGCGTGAAAACTTGCTAAGCCATAAGTTAAAATATAATTTTGGCCGTTGAAGGCCCGGGCTCGAACTATGGTCGATCGACCAGCAACCAAAATTATGGAAAATAAATTTTTTGAATTCTAGTCGCCCCTCGGCAGGGAATGCCAAGCTCTCCGTGTGTATTTCCGACATGAAGGCGAATTGGTAAAACATCAAGACGCACACCGAAAATCGGAGGCACTAGCTTCAGCGGTCACAAAGCGCCAACTAAATGTAATATAGGCCAAAATGATTGGATTTCTATATCTTAATTCAGTACTTTTTCCACATTCATAAGTTTTTTAATTAAAGTATAAAAAAAAAAATTAAATTTATTTGTACATTTTATACAATGTAACTGTATTGTACCTATAAAGTGAAAAAAATATTGCGACAACTAACTATTTGTTAGGACATTTGTTAATGCGAAATTTTTATGAACGCAAGACCGTCGGTGTCGTAGGTACGGCTGGTGCGTACGGAATCACTTCTTAAAACACAAACCAGTGCTACAAAAATTTATAATGCAATTGCCTTATCTTAAATGATTTATTCACCAGCGTATGAAAATATACAACATCTACATATGTATGTATGTATGTATATTTCCAATTACGCATTTTATACAAAACATACAAACATTCAAAGCAATATGCCTCTGCGTGCAATTAATCATCATCAACGTCAAACTGGGCGCTACAACAATGGCATAGGTTTACAGTTACACCAAATCGCCATCTTAATCTCCGTCGACAACAGCAACAAAAAATCCCCTTACAATCGGGCATAAAAAACGAGACAACCAGTATTGTTGTATTCGTTTCATATCTCTTCATATGTACATATGTGTTACATATCTACATATATAAATAGATATATACATATGTGTACGAGAAGTATATATGAAAAGTAGCTCGCGCCTATCTTCTTTCCCATTGTTACATTGCGGTTAAGCATTATGTACAGTTCATTGTATTTTGTTTTGCTATTTTTATAATTATTGATTGCTCACACCAGCAGCCGATTGTTGTTTTTATTCAACCGAGCGATTGATTAATTGCATTTGCTACTCATCGCGCCACGTGAGTGAACTCCGTCTGTGGCCTATTGGTGTTAGTTGGCAATTACTAGTATTGTGAATGTGTGTTTTTATGTATGTGGGCATATGTATATACTTTAATATATACGACTATTTCAAATTTAAGAGACTTTGCTGTGTCGATGAGCTTTTCAAACAAATGTTCGCCTTTTTAAATGCAAATATTATCTGTTTAAAATATAAAATAGGATTTAAATGAAGATGCAGATATTTTAAAAATTACAGACTTAATTACCTAGTGTCACCGCCTTCTCCTACATTTATTTGATTCTCTCACTTTAGATAAATAATTTCCTTATAACAATGGAGCACACATAACTTAACATTTAAAAACAAATAAAAGTGAACATGAACATAATGAAGAAAACAACTCAAGTCATTGAAATATAAATCATAATTGATATTCAAATTAAATGCGATTCAAATCAAAATACTTCAATTTAACTTAATTTGTTGTGAACACAAAACATTCAATATAGAAAGAGTTAAATAAAAATTTGAAAAACTTTTTTGACTCGCACAATTAAATTATGAAATAGTTTCTCGAGGTGTTCGTAAATGAATAGTGAAGAAATATCTTCGTTCCGAGAGCAACACTTGTACTATTTGGGATGTGTCAGTTGTGGTAAGTTGTATAAAATTTAAAAATCGAAATTTTACTAAATTAAGACTTTAAGACTTAATTGATGTTCTTATGATTATAATTAATTATTCATATCTATTTATGCACATGTGTAGAGTTGCAAGGAAAGTGCGCATATATTGGAGTACATAAAGAACCCAACTTGTTATTTCATTAAATAAATTGTAACCAATAATGAAATCTAAAATTAGGCAGAGATGCCCTGGTGCACGAATATATTTGTAGCTTTGCATTTAAAATACTCTTCTTAGTGATATACGATAATTTTACATCTTAAACTCAGTCCGGGATTATACCATATTGTGTTCAGACACTTTACAGCTTCAGGCCTTGGTAATTGAACCATTGACGAGATATTCACTATACGTCAAATCCTGGAAGAGCCCCAAGAAGAAAATGCTTGATACACACCACTTCGATTTTAATGCTCTTTCTACTGCCGCTATGCTCTCTGAGAACCACCAAAGTCTCCACCAGAATCGGAGCTGCTCGATTCCAAAAGAGATATCAAATAAGGCGATTCCCTTTCGTGTGACTTCTCCATCCCATCTGATAAGAACTGCAGAGCTCAGAGATGAGGTACAATCTGCTAGCATAAAACGATGATATTGATACAAATGGCTCAACAAAGACGCTGTAAGCTCTACTTTCTCCTGACTCGAAAGGGAAGTGAGGCGAATGCATCTGGTAGCGAACGAGGGCAAGAGGAAATACCTCTAGTCATCTAACGAGCTGCCAGTGCATTCCCATCTTCCCACTGTTGCCAGTTATAACTAAGAAGATGTAAAAGATTTCATCCATCTAGCAACCATCATAAGCACCAAAACCAATTTCAACTTGCAAATTCAGCGTCGAATCACTAACAGATGCTACTTCGCTAAGCAATTGAATAGGAAAGAACTCTCCTGCCGACCATAGACCAAACTCTACCAATATTCTTTGATAATGTCTGATGATTCGCTATTGGAAGTCTACCAAAAAAGGATTTTGGAAAAGAACAAGATTTCTATTTCTTTTGAAATATCAGATAGACGGTCTCTACGCCAAAAAAGAAGAACTTTACAGATGTTTAAATTCTCTTCAACATAAAACCAAAGTCATCCTGTTTACGAGAGAATCACTTGATACTAACTTTACGTTTTTAAGAAAAATGAAATAACACAACATGAAAACAAAGTAACCAGGAACGCTCTATAGTGCAATTAGAAGAACACAGACAAATACGAATATGAAACAAGAAAATAGTGCTGCCCTCGGATAACTCTCTTAAATTATAAATAATTTGTTAATTTCATGTTTTCACAATCCATTTGCGTTATGTATATTTATCGAATGAGGTACTTAAAATCGCTCATTTACCGCTTAATTGCCAGAATAATAACACGAAATCACAAGTCTAAGTAGCGAGTTGAATGAACATTATATTTTTAATTCAACGTTCCATCTGAAATCTGTTAGCAAAATGCCAAACTTCATATTCTCTGTTACTTAAAAGTGGTAACGAGAAATAAAAATGAGAGTGGGCTAGTGAGAGAACATCGAATGCACTGAAAAAGAAATTATATTTATTAAATTTATTAAATTTCTTTTAAATATCATACCAATAATTATAAAGCCATAAATAAAACTATAAAAATTCAATCGAACTGAATCAGAAGAAGAATTTTAATAATTTTTTTCGAGAAGCCATTTTTGGTCATGGAAATAAAATAATCTCAAGTAAATCGAACCAAAAGTCCGATTTTCTGCAAATAAGTCGATCCCTGATCCACTTCTCGGACTCTTCTTGTTTGTCCTTAAAACGATTCGAATTGGTGCAGAATCATCGAAATCGGTTGAGAAGTTCTTTATAGATGTGTAGATTTTCGAAGAACATATTTGATTGAAAAAAGCAATCTCAAATGTATTTGTTAGTGCCCATTTTTCACATCTTCAAATAGTATTCACTTAACTCGGCAGCACAAATTTCGAGATTTCAGGTGCTAATGTTACAGCAGTTACGTTTTAAGTTAAGGTCTTGAAAGATATGTCCCACGAGAAACGGGACTAGAAATGTGCATTAACTACCATTCGGGAGGCATGGAAAGCGAGTTTTATTTGCAGTCGCTCCTGCTGTGGCACAGTCCTTACTTAAAGTGGATACCAGAATAGCAAACTGTAGCTGTACACCGAAAATCAGTAAATTGGCAATATTAAAAAATAATATTTTCGCTACACTATTATGTAGTATATATACTCGTATGTATATGTATATTTACGTATGAACATATAAAATACAACATAATAAAGTACGCAGCATTCAAAGTGCGGCTAAGCTGCTAATCGGTTGCAGGTAATAAAATAAGCGTAAACACAACAAATCACTGTCTAATCGGTTTTATTGGCGGAATATAATAATAAAAACGCACATTGTTAGTATCATTCCAGCTATAAGAAAAAAAAAAAAAAAAAAAAAACAGAAAAAACTCAGAAAAATTAGCGAGCAAACTAATTTGCATATGTTTTGCATGGACAAGCTAAATTATACGCACACATACACACAGAAAACATGCGAGCTGTGAATGAAAAACCAAAACCGCATAAGCAAAAACAACGGTAGTCAGCTGTTGCTGCTGCAATTACGATTTTTGATTATTATTTATTTTATTGTTTTGTATTTATTTCTTTTTCGTCGTTTTTCAATTCATACATATTCATCAATTTTCTATGTGTTTGTAATTGCATAATCGTTTTGAAAACAATAACATAAACAAACGCATTGACTTCATGAATTTTAAATGACTCTTGTTTGTTTTCATTCTCTTCATTCACAATATAATCAAATTCAGTGCGTCTAAACATGAAAGAAAGAAGAACTGAGCACCTACGTAAATTCGTAGGTACGGGTGTGCATGCAACGTGGAGTGAGTGGACGTGAATCTGCATATTCGTGCGAAAGAATGATCAAGAGAACAGAACAAGACAATGAGTAAACGCGTGGGCTGGACAATAAATTAAAATTTTCACTTTTCGTTCATAAATTTTACGTTTTACAAGTATGAACATTATTCATGTAATCATCACGCAAACACAAGCATGCGCACACAACCATACATACGGGTATGTACATACATACAATACGGCATATGTATGTGAACGTACTTCTAAGCATTTCAAAGTATTTTTCATATTTTCCTCGCTTAGCCAGGTGGTGAATGTTAGTTTTTCTATAAGGATAAGGTGAAAATCGAAAAAATATCATACACGAAAAGTATATATATACACACACACACGCACGCTAGTAAATATACGAAAGACTTTGGCTGCAAACTTGTTTTCGCGCACTTTGTTCGAAAACTGTGGGACAGAAGCTCTTTGAAAGTGTGAAAAATATACTGAAAAAGTGACAATGTGTCTCATTTAACCGATGAACTTTTTTATTCATTTATTCATTGACTTATTTATTAGAAGTCATATCATTTTATGAATGTTACATGCAGACCTTAGCGGCTTGAATTACTGAAAAACTCTAATAAATTATTTTAAATTCAAAATTTTTTAGTATGCAATTACGACTCCTTAAAGAACCCCTTTGGCGACCGTATGCGCTCTCATGAATAAGGTTAAGGATTCAAATCCAGGATAGACTAATTACAGATAATCAATAAAAATTATTACAGAAATTTATATTTAAAGAAAATATTGTAGAATTTTAATTGGTAAGAATCTTGGGGATCAACAGTGCATTCCAAGCTGCCTCATGTGTTTTAATGTTTTTATTTCATGTTAGAAATAAACCTGGAGGAGTAGGGCTTGGCAGAAGTTTTTAAAATTATTGTTTTTATTTTTAAACTTGATTGTCTGTAATTTTTTCCAAGGTTCGAACATATCAACTACCGCATGGTTGTATTGGATTTGAATACCACAAAATAGGTAGTAACAAAAAGGAAATTGTTGTAAGAAATGCATTGGGAAAAATCCATAACTTAACTAAATTATACGAATCTGTTTTTACACTATTTTCCATTTATTTCAAAAACCAGAGTCATAATTGATTGCAACAAGTACGTACAGCTAAGATGGACAGTTCAAAAGTAAGGAAATACTTAAATTCAATTATAGTAGAAATCACAAAGACTGTCTTGCTATAAAAACAGTAGAGAAACCACTTGGGATTTATGTTTAACAGTTTATTAAAATCTTTTTAGTACGAAAACAGCTTTATCCACCAGGCTAAGTCGGTTTTCGTCTAAAAAATTCTTGACGTAAAAATATTTAATAGAAGCCGATCGGCCAGAGATAGAGGCTTTCTCGCTTATAAATGTCAGAAATATTAAAATTTTAGATTTATAGTAGGTTTATTGAAAATCACTTTATCTTGGCGAAACTGTTTTTAACCGCTTTAGAACAACTTCTGGCCCATGGTGCAGGGAGAGAGAGCAAAAAGAAAAACAGGAATAAAAAATCGAGTTTAAGTGACAGCCGGCACAATAAGAACGCGTGCAATTGGAAAATTTATGATTGTTGCGTCTAGCGGTGAGTCGTTGTCATAATTTAATAAATTCACTGCGTAATCCGGTAAATGCAATTTACAATTCAAACATATGCATATAAAACTACTATTTTACTTATGCGCATTTATTTGTGCATCTGCAACATGTGCAAACACACACACACTCACGAATCATACTTTATAAGCACAGACACAAACCAACATGTACCAACATACGAGTATATGCATGCATTCACACATCTATACATGCATACGAGATGTGCTGCTTGGTCTTCCGCGTCACTTTCCCGGCAAACTTCCTTTAATTCAACTTGTTGTTGTTGTGCCGGCCACTTGCCATCGCCAATCGAAAGGGGAATTCATAATTTGCATTAATATTTACCAGCTTTCACAATCTCCTATGCAAACTGGTATACACGTATGTACATACATACATGCATAGCTATTCGGGGCTATAATTATGCTGCCCCAGCAAAACAGTCTATCATCG